TAACAACAACAACACAACATAGGTATACCTAGTTGCATTCCATTCCACCAGCAAGCCAGCAGCCCAAATGCACTCAGCTTTCTCCCTCCGGGGGCTGGCATGCCTGCTGCTCTGTCTCATGCCTCTTGGTTCCCCTGCCAGTAATGGCTGAAATCTCTCTGCCAAGGAAGCTCTGCTCTCCTGATGGCAGTGAGATGCCCCCTTCTTCCCCTGGGAGCACTCATTTTAATCCTGGAAGTATGACAAAACTAACCAATTCCCTCATTAGAGTTCCATACACTTTATTTGTACAGTCCTACCCCCATGTACCTTATTTACATTACCTGGCAAGCTACTGAATCCCCTTATATTTGCATAATTCCACCCAGTAACCTGGTGGAAGTAACAAAGACTGGTTAGAAAAGCCCTATGAAGTAATTCACTGCTCACATGTATAGCTGTGCAGAAGTGGGTTTCGTGACCTCCAATGCCCTCTCTCCCACACCTGCACCATTTTACAATGTGGGTTTACATAGATCCATCCAATGTGGGTGGTCTGGGCACCTCAAGTTGAGGGTGGGAGGAGGTGTACTAACAGATAATCCAATGAAAACTACCAAGATTTACAAATAGTAATTAGGTGCTATTTTGTGACAAATATAAAAAATTATTATCATATATAGTATCCGATTCAACAGCAGTGAGTTTGGGTTTTTTTGGTATAGTATTACAAGTACTATAGTGTATCTAGAAGTGTTTCTTGAATATTTGTTATACATAATTGTGTTAGGTTGGGTTATCTAGAGAAGCAAAACCAGTAAACATTATATATACACAAAGAGAAATTTATCTTAGGAAAATGGCTCACACACTTATAGAAGCTGGCAAGTCCCAAGTTACTGGATCAAATGTCAAGCTGGAGGCTTTTCCTGACTCACACAGCTGCAGGGGCTGACGAGCTCAAGGTTGGCAGGCAGTATACTGGCTGTTGACTCCAATGAGTGATGAATCCAAGATCTCCAGACCGAATGGTGGACTGTTCATTCATGGACAGTTGTAGGTAGCACGTTCGGATCCCAATCCACAGAAGAGTGTCTCTTCTCCCAGGATGTCCATAAATATATTGGGAACAGGCCACACCCTTAGCAAAACTCCCGTCCAATGGATTGGCTGTTCAAAACATATACATCTGACCCCATCACAGGAATAACCCAAATCACAATTGCTTAAACCACACAAAATTGTAGTCCAGCCAAGTTGACACACAGCTCCAACTATCACAATAATATTTTAAATGTTTTTTCTTTTAAAATTTTTAACCTTCTACGCATAGATAAGCACACTACCTACTCAGAGAAATATTTGAGTGATGTTAGATATACAGTAAATATTTCAAATTACATACAAATTAAAATAGTAAAGAAAGAGTTATGAACTGAACTTGTTTGTAATGCAAGGACTGCCTGTAACTGTTATAAACAATTAATAAGTAAACGGGAGAAAAGAGAAAGCCATTTCATGCAGAATTCCAATGAGTAAACAGAAATGGCATAAAAAAAATACATTTTGGTAACAACCACAGCAATAATAATCATATATTATTATGGATGCCAAAATCAGAAAGGCAAGATATGATGAAAAAGAGAATATGTGCACAATTATAAAATACCATCCAATGTGAAATTACTAGGTACAGAGGAGGATAAAATACTTAATTTTACAACAGGAAAGAATGTAGGAAAAGTGTTAAATTTAAAAATAAAATAATACTCTTAAACTAAATCAAGATGAGTATTTAATTTTATGCAAAGTAATATCGATAAAAACATGACATAAACAAAAGTACATTTACTCAAGGTTATTTCATGTAGTCTTATTGGTAATATCCAAAGACTTTTAAGAAAAGTAAAATTTAGCTTGGACTGATTAAGTAATAAACATGGATAAGGACAGTTCCACAACTACAGTAAAACAGTCATTTCTACCAAAGGTGCAAAATAGTGTTAAAGACCCCTTCTTTGAGTTACTACTGCTTTCTTAGTCCCTGAGAAACTTTGTTCTTTAAGCATAGACTATTTCAGACTTCTTTGAACCTGTAATAGTAAAGAGGAAACATCCCAATATTTACACAGACTTGGCTCTCCACTGTGAGTTCTTATATGTTAAGTGAGTTGTGAGGGAAAATTATAGTCTTTTCCACATGCTTATATTCATAAGGCCTCTCTCCACTGTGAACTTGCATATGTATAGTGAGGTTTGAGGCTTCGCTGAAGGCTTTCCCACATTCCTTACACTGATAAGGCCTCTCACCACCATGAAGTTGCATATGTAAAGTGAGATTACAGGCCTGACTGAAGGCTTGCCCACATTCCTTACATTCATAAAGCACCTCTCCTCTGTGAACTCGCATATGTGCATTGAGGGATGGGGCTTGAATAAAGGCTTTCCCACATTCCTTACATTCATAAGGCCCCTCTCCACTGTGAGTTCTTATATGGTGTGAGAGGCAATAGGAACGACTAAAGGTTTTCCCACAGGCCTTACATTCATAAAGCCGCTCTTCACTTGGAGTTCTTATATGGTTAGTAAGATATGAGGAACGTCTGAAAGCTTTCCCACATTCCTTACATTGATAATACATCTTTGTATTATGAGTTCTTCTATGTATATTTAGGGTTGAGGGATAACTGAAGGCTTTTCCACATTCTTCACATTCATAAGGCTTCAACCCATTGTGACCATTGACATGTCGAGTGAGGGATGATGAACAACTAAAGGCTTTGCCACATTCCTTACATTTATAAGGCCGTTCTCCACTGTGAATTCTTGTGTGTGCAGTGAGGTATGAGGACTGTGTAAAGCCTTTCCCACATTCCTTGCATTCATAAGGCCTCTCTCCACTGTGAGTTCTTATGTGTCTTGGGAGGTGTGATGGCTGATTAAATGTTTTCCCACATTCCTTACACTCATAGGGCCTCTCTCCACTGTGAGTTCTTACATGTCTAGAGAGCTGTGAGGGCTGAATAAAGGCTTTCCCACATTCCTTACATTCATATGGCCTTTCTCCACTGTGAGTTCTTCGATGTCTGGAGAGCTGTGAGGATTGACTAAATGTTTTCCCACATGCTGTACACTCATAGGGCCTCTCTCCACTGTGAGTTCTTCTATGTCTAGAGAGCTCTGAGGGCTGAATAAATGCTTTCCCACAGTCCTTACAATCATATGGCCTGTCTCCACTATGAGTTCTTCTATGTCTAGAGAGCTGTGACGGCAGACTAAATGTTTTCCCACATTCCTTACATTCCGATGGCTCATCTCCCTTGTGAATTTTTTTATGAAAAACCAGGGATGATGGATGACTACTGATTTTACAATATTCTTTATATTCATGCTCATGACCTCTCACATGTGTCCAAAAGGACAAGAAACCACAAAAATCTTTCCCACATTCATTACATTTATAGGGTTTGTCCTCAGTGAGTGCTGCCAGAGGATTCTTAAAGGATGATATACAAACAAATTCCTTCCCGCACTTAATACATTCATGGGGTTTCTTTCCATTAAGAGTTCTCACAGGAGTGGTTAGGTGAGAGGGACAATTGCAGGCTTCTCGACATTCTTTACATTGACAAGGATTGCACTCAGTGTGTGATCTGGTATGATGCTTATGGGATGAGTAATCCATGAAGACTTTTCCACACTCACAGCACTGAAAAGGATTTACTTCTGGAGGATTTCTTTGTAGCACATTAAGATCTGGAATCTGGCTGAAGATTCTTCCATGCAGATTGTCTTCATTACTTTCACCGAGGTTCTCTACTATATGACTTCTGTTAAAAATTAGAAACATGCTGTTGGAAATAAATTTGTTCTCATTTAATCAAAATGAAACAGAGTGAATGTGCACGGATTTTGTCCTGACTAATCTCATTTCACAGGTTAATTCATCTAGCAGAAATGTTACTATTCTTGTCACTGTTTTTCTAAAATATGAGTCCTCTGGTAATTATGCCCAAATACAATGTGTTTAAAATAGATGACTTTTGTTTGAAATTTAAGAAAATTTATCATTGTAAAACGTTTTGAATACGTAATTTTACAACTAGTTTTATACATATAAACATATGTGTATATAAGGAGCTCTGTTGGCATAGTGGTTAAGGCGTTTGGCTGCCAACTGAAATGCTAGTGGTTTGAACCCACAAGCTGCTCCATGGAAGAAAGACAGGGCAGTCTGCTTTGGTAAAGATTATAGCTTTAGAAACCCAAGAAGTGGTCACAATGAGTAAGAAATGACTTGATGGCAGTGAGCTTGAATATGTATACAACTATACATCTCTATCTGTGCCAGTACATATAAAGGATATGAGATGGTTTGACATGGTTCAGCAATGGCCCATCTAAAGGAGAGAAGCACACATGCTTCATCGCAATCAAATCTATTGCAGTTCATACTGTGACCCGAGTAGGAAACAACAAGAATGCCCCTCTCACAGATGGCAGCTAAATGCACAGCTTTGGATGTACGTCACCCTCCAGTCTTGCCATTGATCCAATCTGCTGCATCAGGCAACAGAAACCTTAAGGAGACATGTAGAAAATGGACTGTTGCAAACACTGTGGAGAGTGACACACATTCAAATCAGTGTGCTTCGACATGTATTTGAGCTTGTCTCCACTGGTTGTTTCTTACATGGGTGAAAATCCAACTGGCAACAGATTTCATTACTGTGCAACACTTACGCTGCCCTTATAAATGCTGGAAATTACTGAACTGTTATGATATTATTCAAAGTCCAGTTAGATGCATATAAATATGCATGTGTGTATGTTTGTCTTGAGACCTCATGATTTTCTCCAAAAAGACTGTTTTCTCTTGTCTCAAGAACACTTACCTCAAATGTCTCCCATGGTTTTCATGCTGACCTTTATTGCCATGCAAGTCAGAGGATTCAACTAATATGGAGGACCAGGTGTTATTGTTCATGACTTGCACCATGATATGATCACTGCGTAAGTTTGCTCCATCAGTAAGAGAGACTGACCCAATAATTCAAATTGAAGTTCATAACATGAAACAAAAAAAAGAGGAATTAGGGGAAAAAAGGGTGCTGTGAAAAAAGACAGGAACATTTCATTGTTTCAGCACTTTGGCAATGGTTAAAAGGTGATTTAATAGGAAATAGATCCGTGAAGGTTGAAAGTCATGGAGACATACATAGATGTCATTAGTAAAAAAGAGAAGAACTGGACACAATACACATGTAACATTACCACAGGAAAAGGGTCAGCATGGCCACAGGTGAGAGAAGATGGCCGAAGCCTGAACAGTAAATTCAGGTTTCTGTGAATTTGTGTCCTCAACCCAGAACAGACTTCTTCCAGCTGAATGATTCAAAGGTAATTCTCTACAGGCAGGGATGGTCTTAGTTTTCTTATTGTTCTTGTACTTGCCGACAGAGTAGCCCTCCATGAGTCCTCTCTCAATGGTTTTGGTGAGTTTCCCTGGATTCTCTGGGGTAACTAATGGGAACAGCTGACTTGGGGCTCAGGCAGAAACATGTACCATGAGGCAAGACCGCAACAAATCCATGAAAACGTCCCTGTCACTGGGTCAATCCTTTGCTCTCCAGGCTGTCTGAAGATGGGCAAGAGGGAGCTTATTTGCAGCAAAATAATCACACCAAACTTGTACTCAACATACTCTCCACGAATCAGAAATCTCTCTATGCCACAAAGTGGCCTCTGAAGTCGATGTCTACACTTAGTAACACGTAAAGAGCCTTTGCGCTTTAAATCACAAGGGAAATGTCACTTTAATGCATGAAGCTTCATGTTTATGGGGACGTTCCATAGACCAAGAACCATGACCACTTTATTTAACAATTCATTCCTAGTTCTCAGACCAAATACCTGAGCAAAGTTGATGAATAAAATATTTGGGCTATCTACTTCTGCAGTGATATTGCCTCGGAAACCCGAGGAAGGGTCGCTGTGAGTCAGATCCAACTTGATGGCAATGAGTTTCCTTTTGGTTTTTGGTAAAGGAATAATAATAATAATAAATGATCCCACTCTTACCTACAGAGACCAGGTTTCTCAAGGTTTCGATCATGACATCTGTGTAGAGTTTCCTCTGAGCAAGATCCAACAAAGTCCACTCTTCCTGGGTAAAGACCACGGCCACATCCTCAATGAGCACTGAATCCTAAAACATCCCAAACACTTGGCATTGGCAATGTACCATGTACTCCAAAATATACAAGATAAACGGGTGAAGCTGATAATACCGGTGTGGTGTAGTAAATTACATGGTATGGGTTTTCTAGACACAAGTCTTTGTAAACTCCATGGTGTAATTCATTGTGAGCAACTGAAGAGCTCCTGATTGTTCAAGTTATCCACCTGGGGTATTTCTGTTGCGAGTGGTACAAAGCAATGTTTTAGGAAGTTCGCGCTCTCTCAGGTGTTTAGAATTCTGATGTTATGATTGGTTAGTTTGACTACTCTGCCAGGCTCAAAAGGAGCCCTCCTACAGGCAGAAGGAGTCTCTCTGACTGCTGGCTGAGAAAGATGCGCTGCTGAGAGAAACACACTCCTGAAAGATACGCACTACTGAGAGAGAGACACTCACTGCTGAGAGAGAGACATTGAGAGACATGCACTGCTGAGAGAGACATTGAGAGACACAAACTGCTGGGAGAGAGAGACTGCTGACTGAGAGACGGCAGGCTGAGAGAGACTGAGTGTTGTCCCTGAACTTGAATTGTAGTCCAGTGTTTCCCTCATAAACCCCATAATCTGTGAGTTCAGTGCGGCCACTACAATGAATTATTGAACTCAGCAGAAAAGCAGTGTGTGCTGCAGGAGGAACGGCTGGTGTCAGGGTTGATAAAGGGGTGGAGGGAGGCCGCATGTCTGGGCTCATAGCAATAGCCCGTGGGCTACTGATGGTGAGTCTGTCTTCCTCTTGTGGGATTAGGGGAGGTCAGAAGGTGGGGCCTCCCTGCCTCTTTGGCACCTGGGGAACTGAGAATTCAGAGCACTGGACAGGAAGTTCTGTGTTCTAGCAAGATCTACTCTATGGTACAGCCCTGGGCTTCAGCCCTCTAAGAACTACATTCACTTCCTCACTGACTGCATCCTGTCTCACAGACTTACAACACACTGTAATCATCTCCTCACAGTTTGACAGAGACCAAATGAAGCCTTATTCTTCTATTTTTATTGTCTAGAACAGTGAGAAAATATAGAAGGACTTAGACAAATGCCCTCATTCAGATCATCACTTCCGTGTGAACAAACAATTTACACCTCCTTCCGTAAGACCCACTAGATAGCTCAACAAAACATAAAGCACAGGCAGAAAGGGGTGTTAACAGCTGGGACACACTGCAGGATAGCAGTTTCCTTTTCCCTGCAAAGTTATGGGAGAACTGAAGGCCCGCACATATAAACTGGCAAAATCAGGCCCTGAGCTGGCCACATTTTCTTGAACTCTAGGAGAGCAGGAGGTGGTAGATCCTCTTGCTGAAATAAGAATATTCTTTGAGAGAAATGAATGTTTACACATCAATCACCTATTTTACATGGACTCAGTGCAACTGTCTGGAGGTTACTGTTCTTGCTTTGTAATATCTGCACATGATGCACATGATCAGTCCCCAAGGTACACGTGCAAACACTGCTGACAATTTGCCTATTAAACTGCCTGTGAAGTCTAGGTAACAGAGACACACACACGAGCCCTGAAGAGGCTACACTCCAAAATTTGCTGACACTGGAGCCTTCATTATGCTGCTGGCAGGACTGTAAAATGGTGCAACCACTGTGGAAAATGGTATGGTGCTTACTTCAAAGGGTAGGAAAAAAAAAATCATATGACCTAGCAATCCCAATACTGGGTATATATCCTAGGGGAATAAGACAAGTGACATGAACACATACACACACATCTATGTTCATCACAACACTATTCACAATAGCAAAAAGATGGAAACAACCTAAATGCCCATCAACAGAGGAAGGGACCCATAAACTATGGTCCATACATACAATGGAATACTATACATTAAAGAACAACGATGGATCTGCGAAGCAGCTCATCACATGGTTCAACCTAGAGGACACTGTGATGAGTGTAATTAGTCAATCACAAAAGGATAAACACTGTTATGAGACCACTACTGTAAAAAGTCAAGAAAAGTGTTTCACACAAAAGAAATATACTTTGATGGCTACCATGGGTGGGAGCTCTGGTAGCATAGTGGCTAAGACACTTGCCTGCTAACCAGACAGCTGGCGGTTCAAACCCAGCAGCCACTCCTCGTAAGGAAGGTTGGGCAATCCTACTTCCGTAGTGATACTGCCTCGGAAACCCAAGGAGGGGTCGCTATGAGTCGGGTTTGATTCGACAGCACACAACAACAACAACAACATGGGTGGGAAGAAGGGCACCAACCAGTAACTAGGGTACACACATATTAACTCTGGTGAAGGGGAAGGAAAAAAGAAAATCAAATGGTATAGGATCTACAAAACCCCTACTATGAGTCATTTCTGATTTCTGACTCATACAGTCACTGTGAGACAGTCAAACTGCTCCTTTGGGTTTCCAAGGGTGTAAAAATAATTTTAAAATTCTCTTACATTTGCTGCACCTGGGAGTTGAACAACCATGACTAGCTGAGCCCTGACCAATGGAATTCCCTGGACTGTGAGAGAGAGTGTTCTGTGTACCACAGCACCAACCCATTATCTTCCTCATGGAGTGAGGAGGGAAAAGGTACTACACTCTACTTAATGTCATCAAACACCGCAGCTTTAAGGTAAGAAGACTCCTCTTCCCAGAGAATTGACGAGGTGAGCTGTGTGTATCATCTCTAATCAATGCTGGTAGGTGGTGTCCTAATAAACTTTGAACTAGAGTCAAAATCTAAAACCTCCTCCACTGCAGTGGGCCAGGTGACAAGTGGAAAGTGATCAAAAACCATAGCATTCAGTATAAACATTAGTAATGAGCAAATGCTCCATGTATTGAGCAGCTAAGATTCGTGAAAGGTTTTGAAAAAAATTTTTCAACACACTTGCTCATTTATCATTCATCACTCTCCAAAGCAGATATTATTTACAGAGTTCACAAGAGCTGAGTAAAATTAGAGACAATTAATGAGTCCCATGCTCAACGTTGCCCACATGGAACATTGCTGAGGCAGGATCAGCAGGCAGGTGACCTTGCCTTTGAAGCCTAAATTTCTGACAAATCATTTCTGTTCACATCTTCATTGTTATTCTGGCTGTTACTCGCCAACAACACCATGGATGATAGAGATCCCTGCTGGACAGTAGGGAGAGGAGAGAAAGGAAACAGCCTATTCAACTCACGTGACCCAGAGAACATTCTCCTGGCAAAGCCCTGACTCTCAGACAAGAATTCCTCTCTTTAGGCTCTTAACTCTGGCTGCTTTCATGCATGAAAATGGGTTCAGGTCATTCGTACATAAACTAAATTTCACGTTTGCAAAGCAGATAGCTGTGATCAAAACAGAAACATCCAGATGCCCATGGATCATAAATTGTTTGCAATGTGGAAAATAAATGGAAATATATATTTACACTCACACACAGAAACATACAAAACGTCAAGCAGCGACACATACTATGGAAAATCCAGCGCCGTAAGAGGATAAGCAGTAAGTACCACCAGCATGTTGATCTTTGGTAAATTAGTGCAGAGAGCAAAGGCTTCATTTCAGAAACCAGTAGCTAATGGAATCTGACTTAATAAGGGAAAAAAACTGTACCTTCAATTCAAAGGTGGAAGTGGATTATGATGATCTTGTAAACACTCATGTACATTTTTCACTGCTCATCAACTGGAACACCTCATAGAGGCATGACTGAAAGGTCTCCACTAACCATGCCCAGGAAAGGGAAGAGACAATGTTTTATCTACACAAGAAAGTCATTAGCAATAGGTTAAACACGTCCCTTTGGAAAACTGGAAGAACTAAAGTGGCATAAATGAAGAACATGAGGAATGTCACAGCAGACGAAGACCATACTAATAGCACAAAACACAAATGAGGACTCTCAGTTATTGGTGTGATGCGTCAGGAGCTTGGCCATCATCACTCCCATTTGTACAAGAAAACATCCGAATATACTGAAATGAAAAAACTGAGGTCTCAGGGCAAAGTTTGGTCCTCAAGCTGAAGGGCACACAAGCAGCTGCAGAGAGCAAAGCAACAACCTAGGAACACAAACCCCCTCTAGGAGCAGTGTCTATGGAGGAACAGTTACAACACAATTGTGCAACTTCTGGAGGTTGATGTGGACAAACTTCAGGGTGAAAAATCTTACGGGGCCCAACTGTAGGGGGACCCACAGTATTTTCTGAATTTTACCTGAAGGAACCCCCCCCATCAGGTCCTCAGTATGACCATCAGGGAAAAAAAATCTCCTGAGAAGGCTAACCCTCAGGGGCCCCTTTTCTTCTGCAGCCTAACTGACCTGCAGTACTGAAACCTCCCACTGTAGCCTCACCTGGGCTTTCTTCTGCAGCCTAACCGACCTGCAGTACTCAAACCTCCAACTGTAGCCTCACCTGGACTTCCTGTCTCACCACAGCAGATGAGGGAGAAGCACTTGTACAGTAACTGCACAGGGACACAGGCTCCTCACTGACTGAGACTTAATCGTTGGACTAGACCAGGCTTCCCCTTTGTCCTCGTCTTACCACTGAGACCAGACAGGGAGCACAGGAAGGAACAGAAAGTTACTGGCTTGCTTAGCTTGTTTCCCACAAGCTCTGGTGATTAACCAGCCACAGGGATGAAAAGTACTGCACCCTGCCCTGGCTTTTCTCCTTGTCTTCCTGTTGCAGCTCAGCTACAATCACAAAGATCAGAGCCAGCACAAAGGAGAGGGAGAGGGGTGTGCAGCGGTACCCCACGATGCACCCAAGGCGATCTATTGCTAACAGCTGTCAACCTGAGAGGGAAATCCACCATCTTAAAGAAATTACACAAGGTGACATCAAACTCAATTGGCATAACATACTACACAAAAACATTGTTCCACATCCTACTTTGGTAAGTAGTGACTGGGATCTTAAAAGCTTTCACGCAGCAATCTAAATGCAACGATGGGTCTCTTCTCTCCTCTTCCAGAGCAAAGAAGAATGAAGAAAACCAAAGATTCACGGAA